GAACAACTTTACTTATAACAATCTCACTAAGATACTTAACAGATCTATCTGGTAATTGTGTGTTCATATGAGCTGGTTTAAGTTTCTGCATCCCAAGCTTGCAAAATATGAAATAAGGCAATAGATTGTTACTATCACCCAAAGCCCTTTGCACGTGAAAATTACTCATAAGATAAGGTAAAGTGAAACTCTCTAGATTACAAAAATGACAACTGACAAAAAAGTGGATGGAATTGAATTATAAATTAGATGGTATATTAATTAAATAATTACCTCCTAACAGATAAATGTAGATAGACAGCATGGAAAAGCATAACAAATTAAATATAACAAATGATAATGTTGAAAGAAATTATATTGATAATTGCACCCAATTTTTTCAAATAATAATGATCACAAATAACATAAAAGCACAATAAACGTAAAAAATGATACAAAGCAACATATAACGAGAGTAGAATAAAACAAAGCAGTAAATCTTTAAATCCTTCTAATTAAGAACCAATTCAATCGGGCACTATTTGGTCTTCTTACTGGATGGCTTCTTAAAATGGGCTTGCACCACTTGGATGGCTTCTTAAAATGGAGTTGCACCACTTGGAAGAACATCATTATCAGATTGAGTAGTAGTCATGACTGGCATGGGCGGCGTCTGGACTGGCATTGTACGTTGGTTTAGCATTTGACGCACGGTAGATAGAAGTGTTTCCATTTTCTGTTTCAAGGGAAGTAGCTCTGCCAATGGGAGATTAGAGATAGAAGGCATACCTTTTGCAGCTTCAGTTAAAGCTTTACTTACATTCATTTCATGTTGAATCTGTTCTTCAAGCAGATTAATTCTATGATTCATATTTCTAATGTTTGCCTCCTCCTGAGAAAGGAGAAACTCTTCGGTGTCGTTGGTTTCTATTGTACGATTTTCCCTTTCAGCAACGTATTTGTTTAGGACATCAGGCACACTAGGACTGCCGAATGTATAAACCTTTTCCTGATTTGGTGGGAAAACTACTACCAAGATCTTCACACCACAAAGTGTTGAAATCTCGCTGGCCTTCTTGAACAAGCCAAAGCGACGCTTTGAGAATGACACATTACGTTGAACATCATTTTCAATCCTCTCTAGGGGAATTCTTTGGCGGCCCCTACCCAACCTCCTAGTACTATTATTGCTTGACATTTTCAGAGAAAATAAAATTCACACACTAAGATGTTGGGATTTAGTATATTGATAATGCAGAATGAGATGTATGTGTATTTATAGCTCTTGTTGTTGCCATCCCGTTAATATTTTTTTTTTTTTTTTTTTTTTGTTTCGTTGCAATTTTTATTATGGTATCAAAATTAAAACAAAATAAATTCCATGTTTGCGGGAGAGTTTTTGGATAAAAATTTTCTTGAGTTGGTATGTAGGATCCAGAATTAGTAATAATATTTTTTAAAAAAATTATTGTCATAAAAAAAATATATAATTAAAACATATTTAATAATTCTTCTAGATTGTACAATGTATTAGATTTTTAATCGTTGTAAGTGTGGACCCAATATTTTTAAAAATAATTATTAATGGAGAACTCATGGACTAATCTTGTTCGTTCCTTTTTCTATTTGGATGACTTAGATTTGATTTACTAAGATGACACGGATTGGTTTTTTTGAATGGGGTTAGTAGTGTCTTTTTTATTTTTTGTAACTGTTGTAGATGTGACGAGATTTGTTTCCTATTTTCTTGGATCATCACTATTGCGAATTGGAGCCACAATTTCTTCATCATCAATGGAGTGTTCAACGGGATGAGGATTCGGTTTATGTGATTGAATTGGGGGAATAGGAATGGTGATACTCGACTTGATGATATTAATTAACGTGATTGGTTCCAAATGGGATGTAATTACCTAATCTAGACATATGGCGTCGAGCTCCTATCCCCTTAATTTGGAAATAGCAAATATTCAAGACATGTGTTACTAGGTTGGATTTCTCGATTCTAACTCGGGTGGACCCTAGGACACCCATTAATTAACTTGAGTGACAATCTCAGGGTCATCTTTGCGGTGAGCTTCCCCGACTTGACCACGGGATTGGGTTTTCGAGGCCGACCATCATGCGCACATTGACTTGAGTGACAACCTTGGGCCTAGCTAGGGTTCATGGCCAACAGTCCATTTTGTGTTATACTTCCCTAGGGATGGCCTGTTTGTTATCGGTCTCAGTCCTAAGCAATCTCAAGTCGGTACTCAAGTTCCCAACCGATCCAAAGCCGACTTTGCTCGAGTTGAACAATCGATTTCATGCCCCCAACGACCTCAACTTGTGTCTTGTCGTCCAAGTCGACCCGGCCTCCTAGGTGAGTTGAATTCCACCTCTGCCCGACTATCCTTCGTCGATCAGCGTCGATTCGTCGATGCCACGCAAAGCCCCAGAGGGAAGAGAGTTGTGGTGGGTTGTGTGTGGATGGACCCACGCACCCATCACCCTTAGTCCCAGAGCGAATAGAGTTGTTGTGGGTTGTGTGTGGATGGACCCACTGATGAGGACGTTTTTCACACATCCATCAAGTATCAAATCACAGTATAGAGTTTAGATATCGTTCCACTGGAGATGGCTCTTGTAATATTAGGAATGATGTAAAGTGGAGTTAAGCACAAGCTAAAACTACCCTTTTAGAAGCTAGACCTATCGATAGGGAGATGGTTTGATATGATTAGGCTAATAAAAAAAAGGACAAGTAAAACAAAGGACCGGGATTTGGTTGATTCAAGCTAAGATGCCAAATATTGTACTAAGGATTAGGGAATTAAATCAAGGCATAGGGTAAGTGAGATGCACAAAAGTGTCCAAATACCACTCTCGTAGCTATTTGGACTTGCAACCTAACCTTAAACTCCACTCTCGTGACAATTCAACCCAAGGATGCCCAAACAAGAACACAGGGCAAAGATTCCCCTTAACACCCAAAATACTCTCGTATTGGGTATTAAGTGTGTGAATGTGTGGCTAGTGTACAAGCTCTACTCTCGTAGCAACAAACACACTCCAAATCAAGCATATATATAATTGGGATCCAACAATCATACACAAATTTCTCAACAAACCCATTTCACACAACAACCCTAGATCACCCAAATAATCCCCTTTATGCAATGCAACTCAAATAGGCATCAATAGAAAGAAATCAAACCAAATCCTAGTCCCAAAACACTTAGCTACTCATAATATAACAATAGATACACAATATTAAAAGAGAAATTGAAAGCATAGATGAAAAGTAAAGAGAAGAGATGAATAAGAAAGCTTCTCTATTGAAGCCTTGAAATCCAAGATTTGTAATGTTCTTGAGCTTGGAAATGAAAAGGAAACACAAATCTACACTAATCTAAGCTATTCTAAACTAACCCTAACTAGAGAAATGAAAGGGAAATGAAAGATGTAATGAAAGATATCTTTTGGGGTGGAAAAATCCCCTTAAAAGGGTAAAAAACGGGCTGCAAAAAGTTGCAGAGGGCTGGCCACGGGTGTGGCTTCACCCGTGGCCAGAAATGCAGGGCACACTGCTCAGTGGCCACGGGTGTGGCCACGGCCGTGGCCAGACCCGTGGCCACAGGCAGTGTGCACTGCTTGTGCACTGAGGTCGTCTTCTAGGCCATTTTTCACCCTCAAAACCTTTGAATTAGTCTTTGGTGCTTGAATCAAAGTTTTAGCCTTTCAAGTTAGCTTTCCAATGATATAAAATGCACTTGGTTTTGACATTCCTACGCAGAGATATGATCAAAAAACCGAGCAGTGGACGATTTGTGCGGAAATTTCAACTTCTTGCTCTTTTGGTCCACTTTTGCCTTTGTTTGTCCAAATGACCAAGACCAATAAACACACCATAATTTGGCTCTCTAAAAGTTGTTTCTCCATCTTCATAGCTTCTCATTGACTCCCATTGACTCTACATGCATCCGAAATGCCCCAAAAATCACTCAATTCATCTAAATCATCAAGAATTACTCATAAGCACACAAATGAATCAAATGAGGATACTTCGGACAAAATTATAACAAATAACAAGGAAAATAAGCTTAAATGCAATGTGAAATTATAAACTTTTAGACTCTTATCAACTCCCATGTAAGTGTACAAAATAGTACACATTAGATTGGCTAATTTATTAGTTTATTTTATTAATATGTAGTGTTAATTAGCATGAATTGTAATTAGTATTTTGGACCAAGCTAAAATGTGTGGTGGAGATTTATTGTTAAAGAAGTTGGACAAAGAGCAAGTCTGAAGATCTCAAGTTTAAAGAAGATGTGGTTGAGAAGAATTCAAGCCACATGTGAAAGCTATAATCAAGGCATGGTGAAATGGAAGCTACGTACAGTATATAAGGAAGGGAAAATGAAAGAGGAAGTTGCCATTTTCTGAAATTCTGAATCCATACGCAAGCTTCCTACATTACTGCTTTAATATTGATTATATTATTTGTGATTTAAACCTGTACTACAAATCAGTACCTGTGATAGCTGAAGTGCTACACCAAAGATGTTTATGGCATGCACGGTTCAGTCCTAAGTAGGTGTTTTAGAAGAGTTGTAGTGGTAAAGGCTATGAGCCGTTTATAGTTACCTCTTGTAATACTCTGTGGTGAACATCGAGTGGATTGGGCAGACGTGGGTTGCCCCGCAGACGTAGGAGAAGGAGCTCCGAACTGCGTAACAATTCTACTGTGTCTTTACTTTATTTATGCTTTCAATTTCGTTATTTATATGTCAATTAAATTGATTTAATTAAATAGCGAAATTGTCTCGTAACATAAAATCAAGTAGAATCCTTAGAGTTAAATTGATTTCAAGATACACGGGCTTTTTCGATTGGTATCAGAGCCTACAGACTTAAGTTATTAGTCTGACGATCTGGCTACTCCGTGCCTCTTGATCTCAATCCTTCAGCGGTTAGTTTTATTATTTCTGATTTTGTTAAATTGTTCAATCTCACGGGTTATTGAGTGTTACAGAATGAAGCACACTAAAGCTCTTCCCCAGCTAGTCGGTGACAACTATGCGTATTGGAAGGTGCGCACACGCACTCATCTCAAAGCACAAGGTGAAGCAGTATGGTGTATCATTGTAACAGGCTGGGAACATCCAACCAAAGCCAGTACCACTGAGGATGAAACTCGAGTGACGAAACCTGAAAATGAATGGACCCAAGCTCAGAAAACAAGTGCTGGACACAACGATAAGGCACTAGATATTATTTATGGGCTAATTCATGAAAGTCAATTCCCTATTGTTGCTGGTCATGATTCAGCTAAAGGCGCATGGGAAGCACTAGAGGCTACCTACGAAGGCACATCGTCGGTAAAACAATCGAAACTGCAACTGGTACAATCAGACTTCAAGGAGCTCCGGATGAATGAAGATGAAACCATCGTGACCTTCCACACTCGTGTGCAAGAGCTAGCAAATCGAGCTATGGTCCTCGGAGAACCATTCACTCAAGAAAAGTTGGTGAAAAAAATTCTACGATCACTACCACCTCGGTTCCGGATGAAAGTTACAGCAATCCAGGAACATGACAACTGGGAGAAAAAGACTGTAACACAACTAATGGGAAATCTAAGAACTTATGAGATGGAAATCTTAACAGATCACACAAAAAAACAAAAAACAGTAGCATTTACCGCTGAAGAAAATAATTGTGCACCTGACTTAGATGAAATAGGTGATGATCCAGTTGTATTTCTCACTAAACAGTTTTCTAAACTTTTGAAACAGGTGTCAAAAGGTTCACGAAACAAGAATATGCAAAAGGGGGCGTCATCATCTAAAACGAGTTCTAAATCCGGTTCATCAACCTTCAAGTCTTTTGGTTCACGTCCAGGGCAGTCCAAAGAGAAATCCACCAGTAAAGGGATCAGATGCTATGAATGTGAGGGCTTCGGACATGTACAAGCAGAGTGCCCCACCTATCTTCGACGCAAGAAATCAATGTCAGCAGTTACTTGGAGTGATGATGACTCGGACGGTGAAACAGGAGGATCTGATTCAGACGAAATTTCTGGTAATTTTGTTGCCTTTACTGCACATATGGCTGCTGGACTGTGTCATGAAGATGTTGCTGACTCAGAAGGAGGCGAGTATAATTCTGCAGAAGATTTAGAGTCAAGTGAATCATCTTTTGAAATTGAGTTTAATAAATTGTATCCCAAATGGGCAGCACTAAGGAAAGAAAATCGTAGATTAACTAGTGATATAGGGATTGTAACAAATGCAAAGAAAGTGTATCAAACTCAAATAGCTGACAGGGATCTACTTCTCAAAGAGGCATTGGCCCGAGAAGAAAGACTGAAACAAGAGGTACAGACTCTGAAGCAGGAGCTGAACACCTACAAACGCCAAATCCAAATGATGGATACCACGTCTACTCTTGACGTGATCCTTGAGTCTGGAAGAAAGACATCTACAAAATTTTGTCTAGGATTCACAGGAAACAACTCAAAGTTAAAACAGTGTTTGTCAAAGCGTCAGGTCTTGGCCGAGGAGATATTCCAGAATCCAGTACAACGACACATCGCGTTGGTACAGTAAGATCACTCAAGCCGTACTATAAATCCTATAACCCAGTATGTCACTATTGCAGGTTACGGGGTCACACCAGACCGGAATGCTACTACTTCTACAAGGATCAAAGAATCGAGAAGTTCAAACACAAGAACATTCAACCCTTTACAAGACAAATCTGGGTGAAAAAGACAGATTATATCTCATTCGTATCTTTCCACTCTAAAAGTACAGGCCGAGAAGAAAAATGGTACTTCGATAGCGGGTGTTCACGTCACATGACGGGAAATGCTAAATTTCTGAGTAACGTTAACACAAGCAAAGGTGAAGTTACCTTTGGCGACGGTATAAAAGGACAAGTCACTGGTATAGACACGCTAAACGTAGTTGGTCTGCCAAAACTGGAGAAAGTTCTACTAGTCAAAGGACTTCATGCAAATCTTATAAGTATAAGTCAACTATGTGACCAGAACTGGAACGTGAGCTTCAACAAAAATAGTTGCAGTGTCCTAGACAAAGCAAATCAATGTGTTATGGAAGGTACAAGGTCAACTGATAATTGCTATATTCTTACTAACAATGTTTTGTGTTGCAGGATCAATGTAGATGAAACTGAGCTTTGGCACCAAAAGCTAGGACATCTAAGTTACAGACTTCTTGACAAACTTGTGAAAATCGAAGGTGTTCGTGGATTACCCAAGCTGAAAGTCAAACCAACCATATGTGGTGCATGTCAAGCAGGAAAGCAAACCAAATCCTCTCATCCAGCGCAGCACACTATAAACACAAGTCACTGCTTGGAACTGATCCACATGGATCTCATTGGTCCAACTCAAACAGAAAGTGTTGGAGGTAAGAAATACATACTAGTTTGCGTAGATGATTATTCTCGTTTTTCTTGGGTTACCTTTCTCAGGGATAAGTCTGAAACCCTCGAAGCCTTCAAAACTTTGGCATTAAAACTCCAAAAAGAAAGAAATGAGCCCATCATTCGAATCCGAAGTGATCACGGACGAGAATTCGACAACAATCTGTTCGATACCTTCTGCAACCAAACAGGAATCACACATGAATACTCAGCTCCGAAAACACCTCAACAAAACGGAGTTGTTGAACAGAAGAACCGCACAATTCAAGAAATGGGACGAGTTCTGCTCAATGCCAAAGGACTACCTCAAAAATTTTGGGCAGAAGCTGTGAACACTGCATGTCACATCATCAATCGGGTCTATCTACGTCCAGGCACGAATCAGACTCCGTATACATTATGGAAAGGTAAGAACCCAAACATTAAATATTTTCACGTTTTCGGATCACGCTGTTTTATCTTGAAGGATCGAAACCCTGTCGCAAAGTTTGAAACAAAAAGCGATGAAGGCATCTTCCTCGGCTATTCAACGAACAGCAGGGCATATCGTGTATATAACAAAGTTACCAAAACCATTATGGAGTCCACAAATGTTGTAATCGATGATCAACCGAGTGATATTATCACAACGTCTCAGCCTGGACCAGTGACAGAACATGACGCAAGTTGTCCTGAACCTAATCAGAGTCTCCTATGCCATCTCCCATGTCAACTCAACCAGAGCAAGAAACTGAGTCTGAGTCTGAATCTGACACTGATCATGGTAACGTTGATATCCCTACTCGCATCCAGAAAGCTCATCCAATACAAAACGTAATTGGAGATCCTAGTTTCGGCGTAAAAACCAGAGGTAAACCGAAACGTGATTACCTTCAATTAGCAGGATATTCTTGTTATACTTCACAGATCGAACCGAAGAATGTCAAAGAAGCTCTAACAGACGAACACTGGATCAAGGCCATGCAAGAAGAACTGGGGCAGTTCGAACGAAATAAGGTATGGTCTCTAATTCCCAAACCTGACAATGTCAATGTTGTAGGTACCAAATGGATCTTTCGCAACAAAACCGATGCAGATGGCAACATCGCTAGAAATAAAGCGCGACTTGTAGCCCAAGGCTACTCCCAAATTGAAGGAATCGACTACGACGAAACTTTTGCCCCTGTTGCAAGGCTAGAGTCAATACGACTACTCCTATCGATTGCATGTGCCCTAAAATTCAAGTTGTTTCAGATGGACGTTAAAACAGCCTTCTTAAATGGATATCTCTCAGAAGACATATACGTTGCTTAGCCAAAAGGGTTTGAAGATCCACATCATCCAGACTATGTCTACAAATTACAAAAAGCTCTCTATGGCTTAAAACAGGCCCCAAGAGCCTGGTATGAAAGACTTACTCAATATCTTCTTCAGAACAACTACAAAAGAGGAGGATCAGACAAAACGTTATTTATAAAACGATCAGGTAAACACATAACAATTGCTCAGGTGTATGTAGATGATATCGTTTTTGGATCCACACAACCAGGAGAGACAGACCAGCTAGTCAAGGTAATGCAACAAGAGTTTGAAATGAGCATGATAGGCGAACTAACCTATTTTCTTGGACTACAAGTAAGTCAAACTAAAGAAGGGATTTTTATTTCGCAAGAAAAATATGCGAAAAATCTTCTATCCAAATTTGGGCTTGAATCTGCAAAAGATGCCCGCACTCCTATCTCTACAACTTCAAAATTGTTCAAAGATGAAAAGGAACATCTGTAGACTCTACTATGTACAGAAGTATGATAGGCAGCCTACTGTACTTAACAGCCAGTCGACCAGATATTATGGTAAGTGTTGGTATGTGTGCACGCTATCAAGCCGATCCAAAAGAGTCACACCTAAAGACGGTAAAGCGTATTATAAAATACGTTAAAGGTACGATAAATTATGGTATTTGGTACTCGAACGATACTAATCTAAATCTTGCAGGATACAGTGATGCTGACTGGGCAGGAAATGCTGACGACAGAAAAAGTACATCAGGCGGATGTTTCTTTATCGGAAAAAATCTAGTCGCCTGGCTAAGTAAAAAGCAGAACTCGATTTCACTCAGCACAGCTGAAGCTGAGTATATAGCAGCGGGTAGTTGTTGTACACAATTACTCTGGATGCGTCAGATGTTAACTGACTATGGTATAGAACAACGAAGTATGACATTGTTCTGTGACAACACCAGCGCAATCAACATCTCAAAAAATCCAGTCCAGCACTCCAGGACGAAACACATAGATATTCGACACCACTTTATTCGTGAGCTAGTCGAACAGAAAGAAATTATCTTGGAATATACTCCAACAGATAAAAATCTTGCAGATCTATTCACCAAGCCGTTAGACAAATCGAGATTTGAACTGCTTAGAGCTGCCCTTGGTGTTTGCAATCCTACAGCTTAATCATCAACAACGGTACAACAAATAATCCTTAATTAATTTTTTTTAACGTAGTTGTTGTTTTGTTTTTGTTTGCAGGAAAATTCTAAAACTCTCCAACTTAGTTTCAATTCTTCTCACCCATATACCTACTTTTTCCTTAATCGGCTCGGCTACCTTATTTATCTATATATTAATTCCACCATTACATAATATGTATTGAAATATTAATTTCAAACAACTTCCACCACTCTCTCCTAGTATGACTCTACTACTACCCCTATAAACTAGTCACATCACTTATCCCATCCATCACAACTTTTGAGAAGCTCATTAATTAAAAGCCTTCTTGTCTTTCTTGCTCTTACACGCCAAACCCACACCATTCATCTTCATCTTTACCACTCTCAAATATTGAACCTTCAACAATGGAAGGCGACAATCCTTTTGCCATTTTCACAACCAAATCCGAAAGATTGGAGCTTTTTCGACACATCGTCAACGCTGAATCTCCGCTTACATCTGATGATACGGATCGAGTTCTCACAACGATCAAGCAACATGCAGGCCTTCTTGAAGGACTCTCGGACAGGGAAATCAAACAGATCCAAGCTCTAGCTAGGTTCATATCTGTGGAGCCGTGGACTATTCCGGCCGAATCAACCAAACCGCCTCCGCCACAATCTGAGTTGAAGGTCTCATCCCCGGAAACCATGGTAGTATCTTCACCTTTAGATGAATCAATTTCTGCTTCTAGAAAGTTAGATTTCAACATCTCTATGCCAAATCAGTTTGTGTCTACCTCACGTGATATGTGTGCCCCTTCCATTCCTTTACAAGGTGATCCGTATGATTCTTCTTCACATAAATTACCTGAAAATCTTGTGCCATTATCTAATTTAATGCATACTGTGTCATCTCCCTTCACCATTCGAAATATTAACCAATATGTGTCTCCCATGGCGTGTGCTGCATTCTCTATTCCCATAACTATTCTAGTCTCGAAATCTGCAGAGGTTCCCATCCCTGTGGCCACCTCACATGATTCTGTTCCCATTATCTCTGTGCCCGTGGGCAAATATTCCCGAAAAGGGAAAGAAAAAATTACTATTTCAGGTACAGCCGAGAAAAGAAAAATTGGAGCATTGGAGGATGTTGTCTGCTTGTCTGATTCCAAGCAATCAAAAAGAGGGTCCACATTGCCACCCAGGGTGACAAGGTCCAGGTTAGTTTCAGGCCCAGTACCAAGTCCAGCCCCTGCACCAGCAGCTGCCACTGTCTCATCTGGCTCAAAGATGAAGAGATCTAAGAAGACATACCATCCGATTTTATTGTCTCCAGCTTTGATGTCTGATTGGAGTGTTCATGCTACTAGAGATTTTATTCTGGAGAAATCCATCAATGTGGAAGAGTTGACAGAAAAATGCAACATTGTGCCTATCTTGCGAGATCAATGCCTACTTGCCTCACTTGTTCATACTGGACCATATTCCACATGGCTCACTGTCGAGTTCTACACGAATTTAACTTTGGATACTTTTTCAGAGGGGTCACCTCGGTTTCAACAAGTTTTCATCCGGGATAAATGGTATCCCTTAAGTCCGGCCGTGATCAATTCCTATTTGGGTACTCCAAATCATCAAGCTGCCCCTGACCCGAGTCCTAATCTCCTAGCTGCTGCTTTAACTCACAACAAAGTCGTCACTTGGCCAAGCACCGGACTCGAAAGCCTAAAGCTCACCACGGAACCGACTTCCTTTCAATCTTGGAGAAATCATTTTTGGTCATCTCGCTCAATTTGTGCGACATAGGGAACCTAAGGTACATCTTCCGTTTCCTAGTTTAATTTAATTTTCGGGCTTCTACAGGAACATGGGTTCAAGCCCTACAAAGATGAGGTGGTGATTGCTAATGACTCAGTTTATAAATACGATGATCGTTTAACCCATAAGGATCACTATGATGATAGAGCTACGCTCATGATCACTCCCGACGCACCAACTGTCACGCCCTCTGTGTCTGCCCCTGCATCATCTACTGACACTGTTTCAGCCCTGAATCCTCGTTCTACGGCAGTGTTCAAAGAACCTCAGACGCTCATGGATCGCCGTCAAATTGTTCTCACTCTTCAAGCGTCAATTGCTCAAATTCGCACATCGGTTGCTTCTCAACAAATAACCATTGATGGCTTAGAAAAGTTGTTGGGTGCTCAGTTGGAAGAAATAGCCCGAATTGAGGCCATCTATGCTCGAATTCGATCTACTACTGGCGCTGGCACTGGTTCTATTTCTGAGAGTGATGAATCTGAGTCGGGTACCCCGTCTGCAAGTTAATCCAATCCACTAGTATGATGTTCACCAGTTTGTTTGTCATTTATTTGGCAAAAACAAAGGGGGAGTATTGGAGAAAGGGGGAGTATGGAAAGGTTTGGATGTTTGGAAATGTTTGGTAAGTTTTTGGTTGGTTTTTGGTATGGATGTTAATAATTTTGGTATGAATTGCTATGAATATCTTGGTATTTTTGGTATGTTAACTGCAACTTTGGTATGAATTGCTATGAATGACTTAAGTATGAATGTCTTGAGATATTTGGTATGTTGACTGCATGGTATGAATTGGTTTTAATTGGAATGCATATGAAGAAAGGAAAGCTCCAAGTTAGGGGGAGTAATTCAAATTACAGTATGGAAAGCGTGGCATATATGGTATGTTTGATACAACACTAATTCGTGCACGATTCACTATTTATTAATTGGATGAAGCATGTGAGTCAACATCAACTAAGGTCCAAAATAAAATTCCACACACAAATAAGCCTTGGTCAGGTCCTAAAAGATTTGAAATTGCATATTTAATTTTCTTTATATGTTCAGTACGTATACTATGAGATGTTAATAAAATATATTCGTTTCTTTTTCCCAAAGTATAATGATACTATTGTTTTACCAAATAAATTGCCAAAGGGGGAGATTGTAAGTGTACAACATAGTACACATTAGATTGGCTAATTTATTAGTTTATTTTATTAATATGTAGTGTTAATTAGCATGAATTGTAATTAGTATTTTGGACCAAGCTAAAATGTGTGGTGGAGATTTATTGTTAAAGAAGTTGGACAAAGAGCAAGTCTGAAGATCTCAAGTTTAAAGAAGATGTGGTTGAGAAGAATTCAAGCCACATGTGAAAGCTATAATCAAGGCATGGTGAAATGGAAGCTACGTACAGTATATAAGGAAGGGAAAATGAAAGAGGAAGTTGCCATTTTCTGAAATTCTGAATCCATACGCAAGCTTCCTACATTACTGCTTTAATATTGATTATATTATTTGTGATTTAAACCTGTACTACAAATCAGTACCTGTGACAGCTGAAGTGCTACACCAAAGATGTTTATGGCATGCACGGTTCAGTCCTAAGTAGGTGTTTTAGAAGAGTTGTAGTGGTAAAGGCTGTGAGCCGTTTATAGTTACCTCTTGTAATACTCTGTGGTGAACATCTAGTGGATTGGGCAGACGTGGGTTGCCCCGCAGGCGTAGGAGAAGGAGCTCCGAACTGCGTAACAATCTACTGTGTCTTTACTTTATTTATGCTTTCAATTTCGTTATTTATATGTCAATTAAATTGATTTAATTAAACAGCGAAATTGTCTCGTAACATAAAATCAAGTAGAATCCTTAGAGTTAAATTGATTTCAAGATACACGGGCTTTTTCATCCCCCACACTTAAACCTTTGCTTGTCCTCAAGCAAAAACAAGGACTAAACCACCAATATAGTACTGAAGTTGATCATACTCCCACTGTGCACAACTTAACAAACCACAATCCGACTCGACACAACACAACTTGTTTCAAGAATTATCTTAGCATTCCACACAAGT